TACACCGAGGTGGATGTGAACTTCTCTTTCCCCTGTGTAGGCTCTCAAAACACTCATGTGCTCGTTTGTTTCAGGTTATGCCTTTTCTAAAGGACACTAACTGAAAAAACAAGTGCTATTACCAGCTGTAAACATTGCCTTCTCCCCTCTTCAACTGAAAATAAGTTGCACTTGTAATGACTTAGCAAACAAGGGTAGAAAGGAAAAAATATTTTTCTCTTGTGTTTACCTTGTGCTTTTTACAGCTCTGAGTGCTGTCAGTGTCATTGTTTCCCCTTTATTGTCCAGTGATTTCCCCTTGTGTCCACGTGGGCCTTTCCCACAACAGAGAAAAATAAGTACAAAAAGTAGGAAAACACTATTGTAAAACCAAAGAAAGAGGGAGTCTGCCTGTGCTGTGGGCAGGTGGAAGGTCATAACTCGTTTTCACACATGAAGCAGAGATGAAGGTGATAAGGACACTTTAAACTTTCCGGCATTGGCTTAACTCATGGAAAAAGCAGACTTTTTGGCTAAATTTCATACTGACCCAGCAGTAGCCTTTTGCTAATGGCTTTTCTGTCTCCTAGGACCAGGTTGTCAGCAGCTGTAAACAGCACTTCAGAGTTCAGCACACGGATTTTCCAATGAGTTTAGCCTGTTGGCTGCAGTGCTTATTTTGAAAATCCAGTTCAGAGCAGTGCTGATAACTTTGGAACAAGTTTTTGAGTTACATCTGTTTCTCCAGTGTCCCTGGGTGGGCCAACTTTGTTGTCAAGACTCTCTTGAGAAGTACTTGGAGCTATTTTTTGTACTGTACAGATGCCCATCAGTTAGCAGGCTGATGCTGCACGAAGCAAACCTTGGTTAGATTTTTTTTGGCTATGATGATCATGAAACAACAAGCCCTTGTTTCTCCTGTCTCTTGTGCCTCCACAAAATCTGCATTCAGATCGCCTTCCTTCCCCCTCTGCTCTGCTTCCATTGGGATCTCCTTCCATTCTTGGTGTCATATAGAGAGGGTGAGCTCTCTTAGCACGCTACTTCCTATGCTTTGTCCCCACCTGCCAGTTATTTGTTACCTGGGGTTTTTTGTTGATGCTTTCCTCCCTATGTCCAGGCTCCTTCACATGCAGCTATTTCCCATACGGACACCTAAAGCTTGTGGAAGTCATGTCCTAGGCTGTGAGGACCCTCCTGTGGCTGCTCAGGCTCTCTCAGCCGAAAGCTCCCAGGCCACCTGTGAGGAGGACCCTGGGGACTGTGTCAGAGCATGCTTTCACTTTGGCTTCCACAGAGGGGTCACTGAGCAACAGTCTGCAGAGGTGACAGCAGCCAGCCATTAAATGTAACATGTTAGGCAGCAGCTGCTGCTAAAGTTACTCTGTGCTGAAAGCAAAAAGCCTCACCTTTCTCAGCTGGAGGAAACCCATGCTTCAGACTAGGTCTGATCAGTGAGCATGTTACTGTCCCTGCTGCCTCCCTTCCCTCAGACTTCACCAGCCTATCTTCTCTGAACAGATAGCTTCTGTCTAGGAAGTGTTTCTTTGTAGAGCTGGGATTATTCTTGTAGAGCCCAAAAGCTGGGTAAGATGTGGGGTGGGGGCAGAGAAGGGCAAGACTCTGAGGAGATCTAGAGCAGAGGAGAGAGCTGCAGTTCAAACTTGGTTTTGCGTTTCACTTGGAGGGAGCCAGACACCCCCTGGACTCTGTGTAGCACTCCGGGCTACTCCATAAAGTTAATAGCAGGGCTGAAGCTTCCTAATTTGCAACACGAGGCTTTGCAGAGGATTTACACAAGCGCAGAATGTCCTGTGGGTTTAGCTCAAACAGCCAAATCATCTCTTACAGGGTCTATCTAAGCACTTGCATTTTTCACCTACTCCTGTTGCATGTGGTCTTTGGCATTTATAGGTTATGCTATAAATAAGGTCTGACATAATCTTTCTTTCCACTGTGTGGTGTTTTTTCATTTGTTTGGTTTATTTTTTTTTTTAATAATCCCTCCCTCTGCCCCTGGTTTCTTATAAGATCCTGCAACAGGGGAGAATGGATGTGGTGGAAGTATCCAGCATCATTTAGGATTGTATCTCACTTCAGCTATTTCATTAATTCAGTGCTCTTGTCATTACGACACTTTTTCTCCTGGACACTGTCCTGGAATTGCTCTACTTGTAGCACGCAGGGTTTCACCAAGGCCAGCAGAGGCACACAGCTTAGTCAGGAACTGTGATGGCTGCTGTGTTTTGCCTTTTGTTAAGTCAGGGGAAGTGAACAAGAAATTTGTTGCTTTGCCCAGATTGGGGAACTAGAATTGTTTTTATGAGGTGAGGGGAAAGTCTTGCCCTGTTCAGAAGATGTCAACTTGAAGTAAGGAGAGAAAAAGATTTTAAAATTTCATTTATTCAAGCCTCCTGTTTAAGAGTTCATCTTATACCAACTTCTTAAAGGTTAGGAGTTCATCTTATACTGACTTCTGAAAAGTGTTGTTTACACCCTGTGAGCTCTTCCCTTTCAGGTGCTTGCTGTGGAACCGGAAGATCAGAGTTCTGCTGCAAACAGCCTCTTAATACTTTTTTGTTTTTTAATTATTACATTGTCTATGATGAGTCTATTCCTTTTTGGTGAGTGTGGAGTGTGTGTGAAAAGGCTATATTTCTACCCAGGGTCTTTCTCTCAAGTTTTCCAATAGCCATGAACACTTACTGCCGGCAACATACTCTGTGTTCCCCTTCCTGAAATGCCTGAAGCAAAGCATTTCCAGCAGGAGCAGATGCTTGACATTTTTGGCCGGCATGAGTCCTTCTCCTCGGAGGCTGTAGGATTTTGCTTAGAAGGATCAGCTGTGTGGGCCTGCAGCCTAGGCTTGATCTGCAACTGCTGCTGAGGTGAGCACCTAACCCACCAAAGCTACTGGGCTTCCTAGAGATGCACTGGTGAAATCTCTGCAGCGAGTTGAAGTTTAAACAGTCTAATTGCTACTAGAATGGCCCCCCAGAAAGTGGGAGCTGCTTCTGTAGGTATCATCACTTTTCTGTGCCTTGATGACAATATACGTTTGGGGGGAAAAAAAGGTGTCCTTGCAAAGGCCTTCCTCTGAAGAACATAGAGCACATACACTTTAAACAGTTTAGGTAAGAAGCTTTTAAGCACCTTAGGGAGTAGGTGAGAAGAGAAGACTATTTACAAGAAACATTCTTATCCTACAACAAAATGAAGATGGACATGGTTTGTGGGCCTGATAGAAACAGGAAAGCAGGCACCTTTCAGAGCAAGTGTTACAACTGACTTTTAAAAGTGTGCAAGAAAGAAACTGAGGTTACAGATTAAATGCTGTTTAAAATTCTTACATGATGTTAAGAATGAAGCTGCACATGAACATTTAACTTATAAAGCGTTAAAAGGCTTATCTCCACAGATCCATCAACGGCCTGGATCATAACCAAATCACTCTATTCAAATTCTCTACCACATCATTTTCATTGTGTGCAAGCCGTATGCTGTGACGGCAGCAGTACAGTCAGCCCGCTGTGACCTGTCACCCGACCCACCACAGGAAATAAAGGCTGTATTTTTGCTAATGCCTGCTCTTTGGCCACAGCAGTAAGAGTGAAGGATGCTTCTGACCCTTACACTAGCTTGAAAATTAGTGTTCCCTGCAGTGCTTATTTCTGAGTTTAAAACAGTAAGAGCATATTTCTTTGTTTTTCCCTCTTCCCAGATTGACCATCATTACTAGTTGTGTTGGAAAACAAAGGAAACCTGCAGGATTCAAGATGTAAACCTGAGCAGGCACCATGTAGCTGCCATGCAGATGGCAGATTACCACAGAGGAGTGCAACTGTCAGTTTTGTGTAGG